GAGAGAGAGAGAGAGAAGGAAGAAAGAAAGAGAGGGGCAGATCAGATGTAAGCAACATAATAAAATCATTGATCTTTATCATTACTAGTTTTTGTATTCCACTAATAAAGCGTCGTTAAAGCCATAACTTTTCGCCAGATTTAATCAATAATTTAAGATTTATTGTATATATGGACAGATTATTATATTTATCTATAAACAAGTAGAGAATGAAATATGTATTTATTTATTATATGTTAATTTTAATATATAATAATAATATAAATAATAATATAAATAATAATATATAATAATAATATAAATGAATGCTTTATTAAATAATAAATACGTTTGTAAAAATTTAATATTTAGCAATTGAAAAAATATGAAATATTGTATCTTTGTTTATATATCTAGATATACATTAAAATAATAATTATAATAATATTTATAATTAATTATTTAAGCTAATATATATTGAAATACGGTGATCACAATTTATGACTTAAAAAATCCGACAATCTTATTTTATTAATCGCGTGGTCTCGACATTTTTTCTAATTACAATACTAGGACAAAGTCATGCATCCGAGGAATGGAAGGTCAGCTTACTAATGATATAGCCTACGCGTTTACCTTTATCCCCGTACGCATATTTCTCTAATAATTTCTTGCATAAGTTACTTTTGCGGTATAACACGTGTTGTGACTCCTGTATTTAAGTACATATAATTACGTTTTCAAGACTAAAAAAATAATACGTTAATCACTTTTATACGCAGTAAAACCGTGGAATCTTAATGCATGACGAATTCGCGGTTTTGCAGTTTCCTTAGCTTTCCAAAGCTTTCAATTAATGTAACAAAAATGAAACAATAATGAAGTTAATAAAAATTATAATTTTTAAACCTGTTTATATCATAATACTTTGTTTCTTCGGGTTTTATGAACAGAGAAAGTGAAAATGAATGTATTGGCGGAAGTTGCGGTTATCAAGAAATTTATGCGACACGATATATCAGAATGTATGAATATTACTGAGATTAGTCATGCGCTAATTAATTCTCTCTAGACACCTTACAAAGATTATAAATTCAAGTCGATTCTCGTTATACCGGTGCGTTAGATACGAGAAAGTGAATCAGTGTCAATGACAGACATGTCGCCGTTTCATTTTATGCTGTGAGAATGTCATTATTCGATTGCAGTCTCACTTGTGAATTTCTCACACTTTCTCCATCTCCACTAGTAGTTTGTAAGTTCAACGACGTGCGACCGTATTACTTGTTTTACAACTAGTTAGTTGCTTATACAAGGTAGTTTAAAATATGCAATGTCAATGTCAAAGCGTTGATAGAATATTATTTTTAGCAATTAATCATTTTTATTAACATTTCCTCTTAAAAATAATTAAGTCATAAAGAAAATAAGATATGAAAGATTTAATATTCTGCAAGTTTCCAATTATGGAATTTACAATAAAATAAACGCTTTTTTTGAAAACAATTCAAATACATAACGTGCAAGCAATTTATCGTTTATGACAAAGTTGTAAGTTTTAACTGGCGGCACAAAAGACGATGTCGTACGGTATCGTGATTTCTGGAGAATTTAAAGCGATCGTATTGGCGATTCAAACGGGTTTTATCGTGGCCTTGCTGTGGACCAGAGGTAAACAACAAGCGAAGCTGACCGAGAAGACGTCGCACGATCGTTAATTGACAGAATGGACAGTCGCGTGATTCGAGGCGAGTGGCTGGCGCATGCACGTGACTCGCTCGGACTTTTCCCTCGATGGTATTAATCCGTACGAGGAAAGGCGTACGAGCGTAGCTCCGTTTCTCCGTCTTTCTTGCTCTCGCACCGATCGGCAATAACCGGCACGTGCAACAGCACGTGTAATCACGTGCGGCACGTGATACTGTCTCCCGCGTGCCGATATAGGAATTGTTATTATCTATGTTCTAGTGTCTATGCACCGACATTGATTTTATGGCACGCGTGTAGGTGTGAACAATTATTAGATGATTGCGAGATCACGTATTTGCGACACAACTATGCTAAGAGGGATTAAATCTTACTGTAAAATTCATTTGCAAAAATGTCTACGTATATATATATATATATATATATATATATATGTAGAATCTTTTGAGTTTTTTTTATATGTTCTTTAATTCATGCAGAAATTCTTTATTAAATATAAGATAAATTTTTTTTTAATATAATATATAATAATATAATATATATTGCTTTTAATTTGATTTTATGTAAACCATCAGAAATTATTTTATCAAAATCTTAATTAAAAAATGATATGAAAAAATTAAATAGATTAATATAAGATTGTAAAAAATTATAAATAATGTCTTATATATTTGATATAAAAAATCTGTGAACGAAGTTAAATATATCGAATTTGAAACAATCTTATAGAGAGTGAATATTTAGAATTAAATATATGCGCAACGTAATTGATTTTAAGTGAATGTCTATCAATCTTATTATATTTGACATTCTTTTGTGTAAAATATCTTAATATTCAATTATTCAATATAAATGCAGGGACCTCGTTCTTTAAATTATCGTCGTTTAAAAAATCGATTATTCCTTTTTAATATTTAATTATTTAACAATTTAATTATACTGATAACGCTTAATTACTATCGATTATTTATATTCTACAAAAAGGTAAAAAATTCATTTCTAGATCAAATGTCAACCATTAAAAATCACGTTTTGATTCTAAAACGGTACTTTCCGATCGTAATGTACAAATCCCGCTATATCTGGCGACCCTGTTTCTACGTCAGCATTTCTAACAAAAATGCAGTAAAGTTGCAGTCCTTGTAGGTCACGGTATTTATGTATGGTGACGGCGACGATCATATACGCGTAGGCGGCGAATCTCGTGAGCATAGTTCACGACGAGCTAGACTCACGTGCTTACGCAGACAGCCAGTTTACATGCCTTTTCGACTTCTCATACGACTTCGAATACGTTTAAATGACACATGTTGTAATACCCATTTTACCGATGTTTATTCGACAAATGTCAGAGCCCCGGATACGAAGCAATAAGAGAATGTGATGTTGAAAAGATCGCTCGTGGGATAATGGCAGAAGCGAGAAATCTGCGTTGCAGCAGTTTTGAGCGCTGTCACGTCCCAGAGAGACGGCATACTCTCCGAGATTATCAGGATTAGCATCTGTAGAAGGAAGTGTTCCACTTTCGTAAACGAAGGATAGAGGGAGGGTGGAGACATAATTATGCGGGATAAAGTCAGACGTAAATATGATAGAGCGAAAGAAAGAGAGTACAGCGGGAGCAACTAAGATCGCTATTCTCGAAGAATTATGACGTTTGAAATTGCGGAATTTCTCATCTTCGACATAATACCGAGTAAGCCATACAAAAGAAAAGATTTGTAATTACGACAGTATCAATATTAACGAATATTAGATATATGCACAAGTGACATGACAGTTTACGTGTAGATATAATTTTTTTTCTTAAGTTAATGTACAAAATTTAAATTTTGATTGATTAATTTTTTGATCATAATTTAAGAAATTTTTTGAACAAATCATATTACTTTAATTAATAGTAAAATTTCTTAATAAAATAACATATTGTCATGCTTATTAGAATATAGAAAAATCAATAATATAAATAGATATTATTTTTTATTATTAAAAAAAGATTTGTGTCAGCGTATACAACGACGTGCACACGATACATCTGTGTAGGCTCGAATAATGTCTTTGAACACGCCTTATTGTGATTTGTGCTACAGATTACTGCGTTCTACAAAGTTCAGCCATGAACTTTAAGTCATGTCGATAAAGAATAACTTAAAGATTATTCTATTCTTTGTCGTTTAATCATTAATATACTAATATGACTGATGAATTGAAAATTCAAGCTCTCTTTCTTCTAATCTGTATTTGCATGGACATAATTAATTTATTAATAAAATTTGTTATCAATTTATTCATTAATTGATAAATCATTAATTGATAACAAATTAATGCTCTGAATGCTTATTAATGCTTAATTTTTCACAAAATGTAAATAAATAAAAATCTCATTTTCTTATTGCGCATATTAATTATTATACGATTATTTGAAATTAATTTATAATACATATACAGTCATATTTTATTCGGACTGAATCAAGGAAAGCAGGAATATAAAGCATGAAGGTATATTTAAAACGACAGAAGGGGATCACGTGCACGTGCAATAATATGTATTACAAATACCTGGCATTAATCTCTCTTGTGGTGGATGTCCTAAAATCTCAAGACCAGCGAGTAATAGGATAGACAAGATTCCAGCGAGATGCATCCTCATGATCACTCCCGACCTAAGCTATCCCGATCACAAGTCAATGAGGAAATTCGCGAACACGCGGACGTAGGTAAACTTAAGCACGACGCGGTCAATTCTCGAAATTGACTTTATCTCAGCGTACGAACTTATGCGAGAGATTCTCAGTTGTTAATCTAAGTCCGCCCGTACGGTACGAGTCGGCAGAGCTCCTATCGCTGTCGGACGTTGCGGTAGTCTGGAGGGCCGCCTGGCGCTTTCACTGGCTTTATACGTGCGCATGAAAGCGCCTCTTCTGAAAGAGGGGATTCTACTTCGGTTCTCGTGCACGATTCTCGCTGAATATCGTGCACATCGTACTATGAGACATCACGGAGAATCGTGAAATTTCACGGCACTTACATTTACGGATCGCACCTTTAGTTTCAGAGAACGCTCTCAACTGTAACAAAAGTAAGGAGTTAAAATATGCAACGTACCCTTTATATGTATAGCAGTACAACGTTGCAAGTACTAAAAAACTGCATAAATTTATTAATATTCCCTCATATCTCTCATTATTTATAATTAGCGTAAGAAATTTTAATTTCTTTTGACATAATAGAAAACGTGACTGTGACTTTTCATTGTAACGATCGATATAATTATATTCTGCTATTTAAAATAATATTATGACAAAATAAAAAAGTTTATTTTAAATATATAAAAAAATATATGCAGGTAACTTAATAATTTAATAAAAATTTTATATTTAAACTTTTATATTTATTTTTATTTATATTAGATAGATTTATATTAGATTGTTAGTGATTTAAAAATTTTTTATAATTAATTTTTACTGTATTATTTACGGCTGATTCTCTTTTTGATCGATGTATCAAGCTTAAAATTATTATAAATTACAAAATGCTTTATTAGCTTTAGAAATAAATTCAATGTCGTATATTTTTGCAATGTACGAGAGATTAGCGGTTTTTTTAACAACAAAATTTGAAAGAAAAATTTAATCTTATGTATCGCTGTATTGTTATGTATTAATGTATTGCTTTAATCAATAAATGGTTTCCAACTTTATTTTTAAGTATCGATCTGAATATAAACAAGCACTTTACGCTATCTTGCATGATTGTTGCCGATTAACCAGTAAATCGAAATAATCAGTGTGCACCGAATAAAAAGCAAATACGCGAAAATGTAATTATAAGGACGAAATTACAGACATATATTCACTATTGATTATATGGTCGATAAGCCGCTGAACGTATAGTTAGCCACAATGCTGATGTCATTACCAAAGCAACTGTTCATTATTTTATGCTATTCTATGATTAATCGACGATATAACCGGAAAATACACGATAAAAGAGAAATAAATTAAAATTTTTACAAGTTCTTTCACTTTTTGTCCAAATTGTCATTATTACTCTCACTGAAATGATATATATATATATATATATACATTTGTGTGAGAAAATATAATTCACGAAGAATGCTTTTTACGCATATTTTCATTACCTTTTTAAATTGTGTTATAAAAATGTCACATAATGCAATAAACAATGAATGATGATGAATTAAATATTATACTCCCAAAAAATGTATTTTTAATTAATCAAAGTAATTAAATTTATTATAAATAATGTTTAATAAAAGAGCGTAAATTTTAATTAAATTTCATGTCTATTTATTCCGATAATTGATGCTTGTGTGTTTAAGTGTATTTAAGATTTTCTCCTCTTTTGAAAAGAAATTAATTTGGTTAAATTACTCTTTAATTATCTTTAAATATTTTTCTAAGGTATAGACTGTTTTTGGGTTAGATCATGAAACAAAGTTGCAGTTTGATTCATTGTTTATTGCACCTTGCCGGTCAGTTGCTATCCTAGATGAATCATTACTGCGCCCGCGATCATTATCCTTGATCGTTGGAAATAATTCGTTCGCATGTTTCAACAATCCTCCCGAGTTATATACGTTTTATATTGCTTAATCTGTAGCTCCAATCTAATTCATAAGCTTGAAGTACTCAGGTCACTTTCATGATCGTGCATCAATGTCGTAAAGTAGATATGTGCACTAGTAAATGGCCTTAATGACGATATTGTTTCAGATATAATTTATAATTGGATATAATGTTATTCTGTTTAAAATTATTAATTTTTCACCGCATTTATATTTTCAATATTTATTAATTAAAAGAATTATCAAAGAGAAGTTAAATTTTTGAAAGAAGAAAATAATTAATATCTAAATTACATATTTTGAGAAATACGTGAAATATTCGATGTGCGATTTTAAATAAAGGAATGTAAAGAAAGGAAAATATCAAGAAACCAAATGAAATGGTTTCTATGCTTCCGCAATTTAGCAAACCTCGTTTATTTTAAAGTCGGATCAATTTTTTTTTAGTATCGTTAATCATTCCTGACTACGAGAAGAAGAGAGATCTCCGGATGATTTTCGTTAAGCTATGAGAGGTTACGAGCACGTTATTTATCACTAGGTATTCACACGTCTTAATCTGTATCCTCATTAAGTGTAGAGATGTTGAAAATAAAATAAGCACGAGGCATTAAATTTATTATTGCTTTGAAAACTGATGGAAAAAATGCATCAATTCAGTTTTGCTTTCGTAATAGTTGTTTAGAAAACCGTTTCGTATAATTACCAAATACTTTTTGGAATCGGAATTCTACGAATAATATAATATTCACATTGTGATAAGTAAGATAATAATCGATAGAAACATGAAAATAGTCACACTAAATCATATGTGTTAAGTCGATGTATGGATTATGTGATAGTAAGTTTTATATCTACTGTCGACATGTCGATAATCGCCGTTGTAACAACCTGTATGAAGATAGCCCCCCAACATTGAAAAACATAAAGTTTCTATAGCTCATTCGATTGCTCATCGTTTGCACATGTATGCACATTTCAAATTTTCGTTTGCACACTTCTAGTAAAAAAGTTATTAACAAAACAAATTTCGGGGGGCCATCTTCACACTAGCCCCCCAACTATGAGTAAATTAAATAAAAAATAGCTTCATTGATAGATATTCGTTTGCACATTGCCAACAGGTCGAATTTTCGTTTGCACACCTCCTGAAAACGAATTTTTTTATGTAGAACTGCCGCTCCCCAAGACTTTATTTGTTAATAACTTTTTAACTAGTTATTCATACTAAGTCGAATCGGATTGATTGATCTTGAATTGACGTAAATTCCAAGTTATGTTGAATCCAATATCGCTTGATTAACGTAATGATCTCATATTTTAACTGTTTATTGGATTCAGTAATATGTTACTATCAGGATAATAAAAGGCTATATCTTACGAATCGTCTCTAGACTGACGGGTTCACGGTTCTTACAGCAACGCGAAGGCACTTAATTCGCGTTTCAGATCAACTCATAAACGATCTATTGCAACTGCTCTCTGCACTACTTTGCCATCGCAAGAATATTTCTTATATGGGTGAAAAGTAAATGAAGCTATTTCACAACATACATATACATTTGATTTCAAGCATGCTTTCATATTTTTACTTGAAATTATGTGTAGTTATAATTATTAGTTTATCGTGATTGAATAAATTTCTGCAGTAAATTTATAAGTCCTTATTTAGTTCTACTTCGAGTATCGTTGAACTTTTAAATTAAATGGAAGATTAATAAACTGATAAATAAACTTATAAAAGTCTTAAATACAATCTTTTATTAAATATGCATATTTGTATATAATTTAAAATATAAAAAACTTGTGATTTTAATATATATGTATAACATATGTATATATATATATATATATATATATACACATATATATAGTTATTATTTCTAATATATTATTATTATTATAATATATGTATATATAGAATGTTAAACTAAAACTAATTATAAATTAGATAAAATCTCTTTGTATATTTACAATAAATGTTTATTTCAAGAGAAAATGTGTCGAAATATTGTATGACTCAGAGATCTAGGATGTATATGATTATATGTTAATAAACTTTTAAGAAGAAAGATAATACTGATAATAATTGCAATGCTAATTAATACTTCTGATTTTGGATGCTGATTTAATTTAAATGATATTTTACAGCAATCTCCTTTCTCTCAGACCGATAATGTCTTGAGACTGAGAGTTCGTGCTGATACCTGACACATTAATCTCGGGTGGTGCAAACATCCTTAATAATTAGCCATGCTAAGGGAAGTGTCGACACACATACACGGCACCATTGCTCTGCGCCTCTCCCTTTCTATCATTTTTCTTTTTAATTGCATTCTCACATTGCTATCTTTTCGCAACAACTCAAGTGTCATAGTACTTGACCTTGATCTTAATTAGCGCTAATATAATTGAAACTACAGCAAAATAAAAACAGTAAATTGATTAAGGGTTTTTCTTATTTTAAAAGAGAATATGCAGCGAATGACTGAAATAGACGGAAATGGAATGATCAAAACACCAATTTTTAGTCTTTTCACAAATAAGTGAACTGTAAATGAATTTAGTCAATGGCGCGATAAATAAAAAAAATTATAATTTTATCGAAAGTTATGAACAATTCAAGTTAAATAAATTAACTGATTCAAATCTTAATTAAATAAAAAGATTTATTTAGAAAAAAATATCGATCAAAATATAGCCGAATAAATGTCAAAAAGAATAAAAAAAAGAACGAATCTAATGTATTGATCTGAATTGATTGAATGATAAGAAAAAGAAATATAAAGATAAATAATTATGCTCAATAATTTCGCAACTATATACTTCCTATCCATCATAATGTGATTCTCTCATTTCGAAAAGTTTACGAGTATATTCAACATACATATATATAACAATTCGAATAGTCGTTTCCCAAATGAGTAAGCACTCCTTTTACAAAGATCCATCTACCATTAATCAGTATAAACATATAAAAATTTTCATCGGCTTTTAATGACTTTCATGATTCAAACACTGGCGCAATTTAGGTTGGTGCAATATCGACACAGCTATGTGGCATTCCACTTTCTGGCAGCGCATTTAAATCTTCAGTTGCGATTCATTTGACTCAAATTGTGCAACAATTTCCATAAGGAACAAGTCGTTAATACAATTAATGTGAGTCTATCATTGGCTAATAAACGAATCCTGCCGTCTCAAAAAACCCATATATATATAATATATAACATATATTTTATAATTATTATATTCCTAAAATTAGTTATAGATTATTGAAAA